CACGTTATAGTAGCTCCATCTAGGTTGAATTTCCCTAGTTTGTTTATGAGAAGGTCATGTGAGACAGTATCAAAAGCTTTATTAAAGTCAAGATATACCAGGTCTACCACTTCCCCCCATCCATGAAGCTTGCTGTCAAAGAAAGCTTTCAGGTTGGTTTGACACAGTTTGTTCTTGACAAATCCATGCTGACTGTTACTTATCACCTTATTATCTTCTAGATGTTTGCAAATTGATTGCTTAATTATTTGCTCCATTATCTTTCCGGGTACAGAAATTAAGCTGACTGATCTGTAATTCCCCAGGTTGTCCTTATTTCCCTTTTTATAGATTGGCACTATATTTGCCCTTTTCCAGTTGTCTGGAACAGATCTGAATTTTGAACAAGGGAATGTTCTCAGTTGTTTGGATCTACGGTTTTCATTTTGCCCATCATAAAGATGGGCTCATTTGCAAAATCCAGATCAAGGTTTAACTATGGAACACTCCCAAAGCTCCAGCGTGTTCTGATCCAGGGTTTAGTTTGACCTACCTCTAGTTCACTTGTGTTAGAGTTTCCACATTATATGCAATCAGATCTGTCTCTATTAAAAGCAAGAAAATCAAACACAAACGTACCACATTAGAGCAACAGGACTGCTGAGATTTAAGTCAGGATGTTCAGAGGTAGGTAAATACTGGAGCACCGGTTAATGGGAAGAGAATTCAGAGCCTCTCTGCAAAAGAGCGGTTTCAGAGTAGCAGCCATGTTAGTCTGCATCCGCAAAAAGAAAATGAGTTCTTGTGGCACCTTAGAGACTAACAAATACTCCTTTTCTTTCTGCAAAAGAGGTTTCAGCATGGAAATGGCAAAGCTATAAAAGGTGAAGGGTAAAAGAGAGGGACACGATGTGACCAACAGATGGGGAGGCCTCATTAGCCATACCTTTGTAAATTCAGTCCTGTGAGAAACATCCAAATAGTAAAAGTGAGAGGTGAGAAGGTGTGAAGACACCCGACCATTTCACCTCAAACTCTTCTCTCTTTTTGAGACACTGATGAAAAACTAGGGAATAATTAAAATGAGGTGGAGGAAAACAAGATTTTGGTTCTATAATACGTCTGTATCAGGTGATCCAGAAGGCAAAAGGTCAGTTTGAGGAACTACAAGGAATTGTTCAAATCAGTCAGAGGAGTTTAGCACCAAAAGATACAATGCAAATGGCAATTTAGGCAACTATCCAGGAGTACTTGATACCTGTTCTTTAAAAACTTGCAAAAAGCCTGGAGATTTTGTATTGTGCTGCTAGCAAACTGCTTTGATAATGTGTATTTGGACTGGCAGATCTCTGTTTTGCTGTCTATTTAGAATTGACTCGTGTTTTGCAGTTGGACACTTTAAAGATGATGATAAATGAATGAAGTGCACTTTTGTGTCACATCTCAAGTTGGTTTGGGATATTTCTTGCCTGCTTTTAAGTTTCTTTGAATGGTCAATCTCCAAACAACTTATTCTTTTGATTTTCAGGTTCAAAACAGCACAAGAGTACCACTTGGTGACTACTAGTCTTGCTTATTATTTTTCCCAAGCCCCTGCCAGGTATCCCCTCCCCCCGACTTTTCATTTCTTTTCCACTCCCTTCCCTTGAATTTCCATAGCACCCTATTATTACTCTAGTCTTCCCATAGATGTTCATGCTGAGCCTTTTCTATACAACTACACAATCACAAGAAAAAAAAATCTGCTGCCAACATTTGGTCCCTTGAGGCTGCTAAGTTCCTAAAAGTCAGCAGAACACCACCATTTACAGACCACTAGATGCTAGTAAATATGCGTGAACTAGAACATATTTACATTCCCGTACAAATAGTATGTGATTATTCCTATAGTGATGGTTTACACAGCCATATAGCAACTGGTACCTGTATTAATAGTTCAAATCTATTGTTGTAGCAACTGTTGGGAAAAATAAACATACAGTCTTAATTCCACCTCTTGCCAGTTCAGAATCAAATATGTTATAAAAACTGCTTCAAAAATCATCCCTTGTTGAAGGGCTTTTGCTAGATACATATTTAGGAGGTGAAGTCTCTTGGGTGTGTTAATCAGTCCAGGAACCATTAAATTCCAGGTTTATTGCCTATTTTCTGAATCCAGTGGTGCTGGAACAATTTTTATAGTGGGATCCTGAGAGCCATTGACCAGACTGCAAATCCTGTATACGATGGAAACCACTTCAAGCCAGGGGTGCTGCCGCACCCCCCGCATTCCCAATTCCAGCACCTATATATGAACCTATATCTTAGAACTATTACCAGACTGCTTCTGGCTCTTCCAAAGAATTACCAGTCCCTTACCTTGCTTCTGCCAACTCTTTTTCATCTCCATCTCCTCGAAGGACTTGCCAGTTCCTTTCCTTCCTTCTACCCTTGGCCTTAATGATTTCCTGGAACTGGAGATTTAGCTCCGCCAGGCCAATCTTTTTCTTAGTCCTCTCTCTCCAAAAGATCCTCACTCCCCATACCTGAGTTGCTCATAAAATCATTTGTAGCTTTCTCATATGCCACCAAACAGCCAACAAATGCTCACAACTTTTAGTCACTACCCAGCTACAGCTGGAGTCAAACCTGTGACTTGGCTCAGGACATTAATAATGGAATATAGTGACTATATAAAAACAACAAGGAGTCCAGCGGCACCTTAAAGACTAACAGATTTATTGGGAATATGCTTTTGTGGGTAAAAAAGAGAGGAAACAGACTGACAGAGCGAGAAGAGTACCCAGAAGTCACTTACTATAAGACAGGCCCAACAAGGAAAATAACAGAACACCACTGGCCATCACATACAGCCCTCAGCTAAAACCTCCTGAATACTGTTAGAAGCCTACAACTTTCCCTCTCCTGCAATTGACACCTCGTCATCAATAATTGAGAGTGGATTACATCCACCCTGATTGAATTGGCCCTGTCAACACTGGTTCTCCACTTGTGAGGTAACTCCCTTCTCTTCATGTGTCAGTATAATGCCTGCATCTGTAATTTTCACTCCATGCATCTGAAGAAGTGGGTTTTTTACCCATGAAAGCTTATACCCAAATAAATCTGTTAGTCTTTAAGGTGCCACCAGACTCCTTGTTGTTTTTCTGGATACAGACTAACATGGCTACCCTTCATACTTCACAGGCTATATAGGCTTCACCCTTAAGCACTCCACCCACATTTTTTCAGGCTCCAGGCAAGGCAATTACCTAATTATTATGAGCTACACAGGACTAAACATTTCAAGTATGTAAGTCTCTGCCTCTCAACCTCTTGTTTGGATTTAGATTTTAAAGTGTTAATTTACTCTGGCTGGCTGGCTAAATCCTCATACAAGCACCCATTAATGGACGTAAGCATGTCTTTAAATACTTTCTTGAATTGGGACCCTGGTGAAGGCCGTGCTGTAGGTCTGGGTGGCCTTCTTTGTGGTTGTCCCTCTTTTTGGAATGCAGGATACCAGACAAAGTAGTCACTGCAACATGTTTTAAGAGTGCCATGGGTGAAGGGACTTCCTAAACCTGCATAAACTGTGTATTCCGTAGACCTGAAACCTTCCCCAGATTTAATTCCTTCCGCAATTTCTACACCAGGAAGATAGCATTTTGGAGGAAGAAGTTTTTATGACATGCCAGTAATAAAAGATGGCATCTTTGGGGCAGGGACTGACTTTTTATTATTTGTTTGTAGAGTGCCTACCAGCAGGTTCGTGGCCCATTAATGGGACTCTTAAATGATACAAAAATACATATAATAAGTAATCAAAATAAGACAATGACGACCTTGCACGTTCACTCATGCAAGCAGTCCCATTGACTTCGGTAGCCTGCTCATGTGACTAACAGTTTGCAGGATCAGGTTATATATTTAATACAAAATACTGTCTTCCTTCTAACAGTATTCAAACTTGTGCATACACTGCTGTGCTGCAAAGGAATAATAGTGCTCTCTCTCTCTCTCTGTTCCCTCCTCAACCCTAATGTGCAGCAGAATAAAGAAGGTATCTGCTAAGTGGGGCAGGATGTCTGAATAGTTTCTTCCTACAGTATTTCACTACCATTCCCATCCCATCCCTATGACTAGTTGCTTCCTTCAGCACTACCATGTTATTTCCATTATGACATAAACTGATGAGGCAAAGGGAAAAGACCTATAATCACAGAGCAGCCCAGTGATAGCCCAGCTAATAACATGAAATAAAAAGTCCTGTGTTTCCTTGCTCTTGTAGGAGAAAATGATTAACCACAAGCCCAGAACTCATCATTCAACACTCCATCTTTTTTAAAAAATAAGGTACCACATGATGACTGAAGAAGAACAATTTTGACTAAACAAAGACGATTGTCCATTTTCTGTATTACACAACCTGTAATTTTTAAGCTTGACTTTGTACACATACTTGTAAAGTAGTCAGATCAGACAAAAGCAGAGGAACGCGAAGGTAACTGAAAATAGACCAACTTCTCAGCAAGCAGTAACGGCCATCATGTTACAAACAGCATGTATTGTTTACGTTTTGCATATGGTCTATCCCCAGTAGGATCAAACTTCAACCCATTGCATTTTCTATTCACCAAGAAGTGCACTTGTGATGCCAATGAGGAGAGAGCATTATTTTCTGTTGTTTATTTGCCATAAAATTCTACCAAAAACATTTATTTCCTTGGTATTTAGTGTTTTTTTCCACAAAACTGATAGAAAAATATTGCAGTAAAGTAAAAGAAAGTCTTCCTTATCAACTTCTTGCTCTTCCAAGACAAATAATAAGTAATAATAATTCATTTACTTTTGCTCAGCCAGCACCACTGTTTTTGCTATAAGTAAAAAGAAGCATTTACCAATGAAATTGCTTTCTACTTGATGAAAACAAAGATCTAAAACTGGCTGCCTCTTGAAATAAAAAACACTGAAAAATGACAAAGAAATAAAACCTTTTACTCTCCTAATTTACTGTTATTTCTATAAAGAGAAACATTTACCTTTAATATGTTATTGTCTGTTCAATCTTGGGTACGAGAAAAGCCCTTGTAGGAATGAGGGAAAGTTTAAATGTCTAAACAAACAGAAAAATGATTATGATGGCTATGGAACTGAAGGTAGTTCAAGTAAAATTCTGCTTTTTTAGTCTCTGTGATCATACAACTAGGAAAATTCTCTGTTATCCTTTATTAAAGCCTATAAATGACCAATGAAAACAAGAGCCTAGCTAAATCTGCAGAATGAAACACTAGCAGTTATTAACATCCTTTTCAGTAGGAAGAACCCATTGTGAAAACCATACATCATTCACACCATAAAATCTACACTACAAAATGTTAAACTGTGAAGAACCTAACCCAGCAGAAATACAGCAAATGCACTGTAAATGGAAACAATATACCACAGCTCCTCCCATACCCAGTAAAAACATTGCACATTAAAGGTTTAATCCTGCAACATGCCAATTGTCCTCAAGTAACATAAGTGTCTATGGAAGCTGAGGGCACTCAGCACCTACAGGACTACATCCTGAAAAAGTACTTTATGTGGGGATCTGTAGCATCAGCTGTAGTAGTGAAAACCATGCAATAGAATGTTTTACCATTAATTGTGCAGTGATAATGTTTTTAAATTTTTAATTGCCATATTACAAAGAATGGTTAACTCACTTCACTTACAATTTGTGTCAAAGATTTTTCTAAGCTTTTAAAGAGCTGGAGAAGTTTTCATTCTGTGGTGGAATATCTTGAAGGACCTCATCCCAAGAAAAAGCTAGCACCCTCCCAGTAACCATCAAAGACATGAGATCTGGATTCAGTATGTCGGAGACCTAACAGGTCTTTCCTGTCTCTCATGTCTATGATTTTAAAAGTAAGGCAGAATTTCTGTGGGTTTTTTTGTTGTTTTTTTTTAACAAGGAGCATTGTCGAGCACAGTGGACAACTTTAGTATGTATAATATGAAATAGGACTTTTCTTTGAATTATTTCCCTACATCTTAAATATTTAATATTCCATCCCAGTTACATAAAGTTTTACCTTTTGGCATTCTCTGCAGTGCACTGTGTGTACACAGATTTCATGTTCTTTGTTGATGTTTTACAGAGGATTTATTTTTTTAAAAAAAGGAAAAGGAGAAGTCAATTTATTAGATAAAAAAGTGTATTATACTCTGAAATGGCTGCTTCCCACTATCCTGGGGGCCCACATTTCTTAGCAGCATTTTCATTTTTATCAGTGTTTCATCAGAGTGTAGCCCTGCACAAATGAATGGATATTGCATATCCTGGGGCTCACAAACAGTTGAGAAAAAGATCTACCATTATAGAAATATATAAATGATAGATTTTAATAAAAACTCTATATCATATGTATGTAGACTTTATATATACACTTGCATTACATACTGGTGTTATAGATGCATACATATTATACAACTCAAATCTGATAAAGAATTCATGTCCTGACTTATCCAGATCCTATGTGACCAGCTCAGGAGTGAGAATCGTTCAGGCATATACACACACAAAAATAGTAAGAGTGCAGTAGCAGACCACATTTATACATAAAGTGAAATTCACCCCAGACACAAAGCTAGCAAAAAGCCTATGCAACACCCATTTTGATGGCTTTTTGCACAGAGGAGAATTTCTCTCTTAAAATGCATTGCACATCAATTTGGAGGTAAATGTTGTCTCTTTATCTTTCGACCTGTCCAATTAAAGCAAGGGAAAGAAGGCAACTAATGTTAAATGTTTTTATGATGCTTTCCACACAAGATGCAACACTCCATCAGAACTCATAGAATTGTAGGGTTTAAGGCCAGAAGGGAGGGCCAGATCATCTAGTCTGATCTCTTATATATCATAGGCCACCAACACCATCCAGCACCTACACACCAAAACCAACAACTGAAATTAGACCAAAGTATTACAGCCCGCAGGAGACTAGACTACCATGTGTCCAAGACAGAGAATAGGAGGGACCAAGGTGCGCCAGTGCACTAGGAATGGAGGAAACTCTTCATCATATTTTGGCTAAGGGCATTGTACTTGACCCTTAGACAGCCTTTTGGTCCTTCGTAGTTCTTAATATACCAGCTGGAGGGTTGATAAATTTTCATACCTGGAAGTCTGGCTGCAAGAAGCCTCAACATTTTCCTTTATTGGAAGAAATATATTCAAGGCAACAGGACAGCAGAACTCATCTTGCAATGTGATATTCATTTTATAACTTGATAATGGTGGCTTTACTCACTACACTGTTCTTGGATACAGAATCATGTTTTGCTTGTTTCATTGAAAAACTATTTTGGGTCTCATAAGACTCTCCCTCACTATCTTGCTCTCACCATCTCTCTGACAAAAGATGTAGCTTTTTATGACTTGTTTTTTGCTGCAAAAAGCCCCTATAGAAACCTCATGTATAATCTCTATTGGTTCCAAAAATAATTTTATATTTGGGAAACTATTTGACTACAATTTCTTTGTACTCTTGCTGCAATGGGGTAGATTAATGATGGTTTCATTTTCCATATTCTGTGTACTATCTTTCTAGGTTATTTCAAGTAAAGTATAAAGAACAGAGTCAAGCCCACAAGTACTAAATGAATAAGAGCTCTTAGCAGTGAGAAGGGTCATGACTTGGGGAAAAGCTGGTGCAGTGTGCCTAAAACCCAGAATAAGGGTATACTACTTGAAATGCCTCATGCACTATATTTCTATACATACCATCCAATGCACCTCATAAAGCAAATTATGCATATAGATATGTTTATTTCCTATTCATAACCCAAACCTCCATTCACACCTAGGCACACACCTAGCCTGATACCACACTGACCTTGTGTTTCAATTATTGCAACTGTATGGTATATATGTTAGTGCCAACTTTTTGAGTGGCTTTCACTTTAAAAAGCCAGATTTGACCCTATACATACACCATAAAATGCTCTTTACAAAATATCTGATAAAAGACAAACTGTTATAAGAACAATACTTTGACCGCAAAACAAGGAGCTGAACAATTGTCTGATTTAGTAAAAGAAGAAAAAATATTGTGAAAAGAACTAGTTGGCACTATAATAGTTTTTGTCCATCCCACAGATATTGTATAGTGAAAGAAATACTCAGTACAGACAAAAAGAAGAACACACAAAAGAGAGCCGTGCACACCAAGACTTTATCAAAATCATGTTTAAAAACTGTAAAGTACAGTAAATACATTCAGATTAATATGAGCAAGGTGCTACATTTAAGAATGCAGCATTTCATTAGGAGCAAATATCCTTCTAATCTGAAAACCCAGCATGCAGGAAAAGTATGGTTTGCAGTTTTTATATTCTATAAAGCATCCTATTCTGCAATTCATAAGCCCTTCTTATTCTTCCATAGGAGAGTCCTTTCAATAACCCACCTGTGGGATGTGCAATTCCAAACCTATCTCTCCATCTGCACTATACCTTTCTAATGCACCCATCATTGTAGTATTCAGCCCTCATATACACATGAAGAACAGCAGCATTTCAGTTTCAGGTGGTCATATTCTGCACTTTTCCCTTATTTATACGACTTCTTTAGGTGATAATTATACTTAAGGTTTGTTTCTAGGAGAAACATGGGCTGGTTAATTCTTCCCATTCTCATGTGGCTGAAGAAATAGGTCTAACATTGAGCCACAAGGATAGCAATGCTTTGTCTTACCCTGTCTCTGCTGATAGGGAATTCCACAGCTGAGAGCCTCCCTGAGATCATCCTGCACAGCTCCCAAGTATCTCACCCTGAGACCAAGTGACCACCTGTATTTCAAGAGAACAAAGGACACTGGTATGAAAAAAGGGAAAAAATAAATATTTAAGAGCTAGTATCCCACAGAGCCTTATTCATAGTATAAAATTGTACATGTGTCACTGCATCAGTGTTTACATGATTAATACCTGGAACTTCAGTTTTTATCTAATAAAATGCTTTTACCAGCTCTTGGAGACGGTTGGTGGAACTTAGGCACCCCATACAGGATGTCCTGTAAGTCAGAGGATGGGTGGGTGCTCTGGAGACCATCACCCACAGTTCCCATTGAGAGCAATTGTCTTGGCTTGCAGAAGGAAGAGGTTACCCCAGAGTTTTACAGATTACAGTCAGGATCCTGAGGCAGTGCTGGAACAGGACAGTCATCATAGTAGTGCACAGCAATGACATCATGTGAGCTTGGAACTGGATACAGTCAGTGTAGTACTGCACAGAGCAATGATTACATCCAGTTCCAAGACACATGACGTCAGTGTAGCACAGCATGGAACAAGGTCATCATGTTAGCTTAGAACTGGAAATATAGTCAGCACACAACAGCATGGAACAATGATGTAAAGCATATTTGGATTTGGATATGGTCAGCATAGAACAGTATGGAGCAATAACATAACGTGTGCTTGGAACTGGGTAGTCAGAGAAGTACAGAACAGAGTAATGACAAAATATGTGGATGAATTGAATACAATCAGCGTGGAACAGCATGGAGCAGTAACATAATATGTGCTGGGAATTGGATACAGTCAGCAAGGAACAGCATGGAGCAATGAAGTAATGTGTACTTGGAATTGGATACGGTCAGCACAGAATAGCATGGAGCATTTCTGTAGTATGTGCTTGGAATTGGGTACAGTCAGCATAGAATGACACAGAGCACTGATGTAATGTGTGCTTGGAATTGGATACAGTTAGCGTAGAACAGCACAGAGCACTGCTGTAATGGATACTCGGATTTGAACAAGGTCAGCATAGAATAGCATGGAGGAATGCTATAGCTTGTGCTTGGCACTGGATACAGTCAGCATAATACAGCACAGAGCAATGACACAGTCTGTGCTTGGAATTAGATACAACCAGTGTAGTGAAGCATGGAGCCAGGCCAAAGTGTGTGCTTGGAAATGGATAGAGTCAGTGTAATACAGCATGAAGCAATGACATAATGTGTGTTTGTTGCAATATCCTTCTTCCCTCAAAAACAGATTGCTGACATTTGAACCAACTGAAATAACTGTGTAGCATCTACAGTCAATTGTGAGTAGCACACATTGCAGCAAACTAGCTGCAAAGCCATGGAGGTGATAAAGATGTGGATTATTGAAGTTGGGTTCACATCTGAAAGGAAATGCCATAGTCTTTATACTTTACTGGTAAGCAAACACTGAGAAAGGCATTCTCTGGACAATGCTATTTGGGTACCTAAGAGCAGCTGATAATCCAGAAGGGCCCCAAGAGTTGATAGCAGCTTGGTAGTCACAAAGACTGATGCCTGAAATAAAGGGTGACGTCATAACTCCAGCCAGCTTTGTAAAGTGTTGCCTCCTTCCTACCAGCAGGCCTTCTACCTTGCTCAGGTGATTCACCGGGTGGTTCAACATTCTGATATCCATGGTTCCAAACCGCATTAATTCCTTCCTATTTGACTCCCTTTCCTTTGGCCCACCCCTCTCAATAATTTTACTCTTGACTTGTGTACAGTAAATTGCAGAGATGCCTTCCATCTGTAGCACTCTGCAATATATATTTAACTGCTGGGTAAAAGTAACACAAGCTACATCTAACAGAAAACTTCCCTGCCTTATGAATCAAAGAGCACCTTGTGTCAGCGTGTTACATGCCCAGACTTAAATGTGAATGTTGTCATCTGCTGTGAAAATTATTTGTACAGCTTGGCTGTAACATTTGCCTAAGTCACAATTAAAATATGAAAAATATCATTATACATCTTAAACCTAATTTGAACATTTTTAAAAACACATGCTAGATGGAGGCAATAGCTTGCCAGAAACACATGATGCTCTAGGAGTTACCATACATCCCCTCTGTCTGAGCAGCAGCGTTTATCCCCTGCAGCTCATTGCCTGAAATGGGACAAATGTTGGAAAATCTCAACTCACAGCATCAAGGAACTACAATATAAGGCAATGTTTGTTTTGAAAATAAGATTACAACATATACAGTGATTCATAAATATTTGCATTTTATAATTGTTTCTACAAATGAATTGGCAAGTCAAATCATACAGGAACTCCCCCCCTCCCACCCCCATGCCATACAAAGAGGATGAGCAGCAGAATTTTAACTAGTTTCATTCTCAGTATCTGTGAGCTCTGGTCACTTCTCTAATACACTGTACTGCTAAAATTAGATTCTCTTTCAGAGCTCTCTCTTCTGGATTTTATTACCCATCCCCCCCCCCTTTTTTTTTTTTTTGTAGATCTTCTCCTTTGGTGATGTATGTGTTAGTTGAAAGTCATCCTTCTCCAAACTAGGGACTGTGTGTAGTATGAGCAGGAGTAGGTGAATGGTGCATTTAAATAAGTAGAAGATGTTTTATTAAGATCATAGCAATTCCTTCATTGAATCACATAAGAGAGTTCAAATTTGATGTTATTTTGCCAGAAAGAGGTGAACATGCTGCCACCTTTGTTTTGCCAACAAAAAAACCCCCACTGAATTCCTGGGGGAAAAGGGGACTTTCCTTATTAGCACGTATCAACAATTATGCTTAACAAAATCACTGGCTGTTTCTACTCTGAACTAGGAATAAAAGTAATACTAAATCCATGGCTCTAGAGTGGCATGCAACTTTCCAAGGACCTGCGTGTGCCTGTTCTAGAGTCCATAGGTCTGAAATGAACACAGGAGTCCTCCATATGCTGCCTGACAGACACAGCTATGGGGAAGTGCTGAGCAAATACTGTGGAGACACTGGGAGCCCTCTCCATCCCTCTGAGCAGCCAATTGGGTGTATTGGGCAGGAGAGAAATAGATGAGACACACTTTTCCACTGCCTCCCAGCATTCAGGATTGGAAGGGAAGAAGCTTCCAAAATGTCAAAATGGAGGTCAAGTCACAAAACTATTGTGACACAACAGCCTGGCAGTCACATTTTCAACGTGACATGGCATCAGGATATGATAACATTATGTGAACATTACAGCACAAACAGTGAGTTCAGTGCCAGAGGACATCAGACACCACAATGTTGTGACTTACTGCAACATCACCAGTGATGAAACCATTCTCCAGGTTTTCGAGGTTGAGTGCCGCTGCTCCTGAGAAATGAGAAAAGGGCATGCTCTGGATCGCATAATTAGGATAATCACCTTCAGGGTTCCCCTCTTCCTCACGTAACCTTCCCACTCTCCTCCCTGACTTACACACACACACACACACACTCTCTCTCTCTAGAATTTAGTCATTAATATTTTCCTTTTCTCTGTTGAACTGGAATCTCTAAGGAGAATTCAGATAAAAGAGACCAATGAGGAACATGCTCCTGTACTCCCAGCCTCACTGTTGATGAGTGGGAGTTGCTTTGTCATAACCTCCATAGCATTCATTCTGTTTGTTGAATAAAACATGTGGAGGGAAACTGAAGTCAAGCATGCTTGAGTTTGAAGGAAAACAAACACATACTTAAGACCACACTTAAGAAACTGTCCACTTTTATTTATAGAAAAGCAGGACTTCTATTATGCCTGAAACCTTGACCAAAGACACACACTGAAACCAGGGACACTTTTAACTTATTTAATTAAACCAATATTTCAAATAAAGTTGGTTCAAACAATACATGCACAGCAACTGACTTGTCTAGGTCAGTTCTCTCCTAGTAGATGCATACTCTGCTGCATTTTGGACATATTCTCTTTCCTTTTCTCACCTGGCATACCTGGCAAGTTCCCTGAGATGCTTTACAAATTTTAGTAAGAATACCTATTTCAGATCATTTGAATGAGGTTGCTGCTTAGCAACATTTTTTTGTTGTTGTTGTTGTTCAAATTACATTTTAAAAATCCAGGGTGTTCTGGATGTGAATAGAGGCAGAACTGAGCTCTTAAAGTTTTGCTAATGCTATCAAAGTTTCCCTAACAAAAGAGGTTGAGAAGTAAGATTTTCAAGTTTTTGCCAAATAATACCTCACAAGAAGCTCATTTTTTATGGGAGCCCAAGTTCTGTGAAATTTTGGTTCCTATATTCTTCTGACTCTTCACAGAAAAATAAATGATAGCCTGTTTGTTAATAATAATATGATGCTATCACTTCTTGCATACAGCCCATCCTACACTTCAATGATCTCCATTGCTACCCAGCTTTCTCACATCTCTCCTTCCCCTTCCCACATATTTCTGTTCATGTGGGAAGGTTTAATGCTTCCTTTCCCCTTTTGATTTCTTACATGGTCAAAAAGAAAATACAAGCACGAGCTGATCCAAAGATCATTAAGCCAATAAAAGACTTTCCTTTGATTTCAATGGGCTTTGGATCAGCCCCTAAGAAAGGAGTTGGGCAATTTGCACATCTCCTTACAGACACTGCTGATAAAATTATGAAGCAGCTTCTGCAAAGAGGCTCATTAATTTAAAAGGGTGGTTGATCCCTAAAGGGAAGACCTGCTTCAACTGGAAGGTTGTGATGTCACAATGGGATTTCATTAATGCCCTGGATAGGAAAGAAACTAAAATAAAACGTAAATAACTAGCTAATTATGCATACACTACAAAATGGAGTGCCTCCAAAGTAATTAGAAATGTCCATACAGGGCAGTCAGCACTGTAAGCTAAGCACAGAGGGTTAATGCTTGCAGGCTACAACAACTGAGTGATCACTGAGAGTTTCTAGGTTGTGATGTGCCAAAAGAGATGGCTGTTCTTAAGTGCGCTGCCCATCAATAAATCTGAATGAATAAAATTACAGAGGATTGGAGCATCCCTCAGCCAAGCCATTCCAGTGCTGCCTGCTCTGGCTGAGCTCCATTAGAGGGAAA